GTTCAGGTCAGCTGCTGGAAGTGTTTCTCACCCTGAGACGTTTTTCTTAAAAAAGTAGAAAATTTCAACCCCAGGTATGTGGAATTATATTAGGAAGCAAATTCTAGTTCAAGTCTTGTCACCAGTGGTCTCCTTAGAGTTTTGTCTCCCAGTTTGAGTGGAACATTGTTTTGTAAGGGAGTATTTGTGATGTGTGATACTGCTGTTTGTAAGAGAGAAAATCAGAATCAAAACACCAGGCATGTGCTTTTTTTTTTTTTGGTAGATGACTGTGTACTCTATTTTCGATCGTATTTGTCTGAACAGAAGAAATTTGCCAGCACAGTCTGCTGCTTCTCTTTAACTCTGGGAGAGGAATTATGCTCTTACTTTTTTTTTTTCCTCCTCTGGGGCCAAACATGTAGCCTATGAAGTCTGTGTTCCTTTTTACTGCCCAAAGGTGTGAAATAGAAGCGAGAAGACAGATTTCCATTCCCTTAATTACTTCTCATGAAATATTTGAATAGAGTTATCTTTTAATGTGCTTGGTATTACCAAATAAGAAGAGTCATTTGCAAGCTGTAGTTAATTGTCGTGGGACAGGGGAAAGAAATGCTCGTATGCTTGATGGTGATCAAAATTTTGCATTGCAGTTCATGTGTTGCTCATTACAAGGAGCCACATATTCCCCTCAGTTATAGAAACTCAGATGTTTATTATCTTTGCAAAGGGCAGCACCTTACAAAATACAATTTGTCTTTTATTTTCAAAATGAAAACAATGGTTAAAAACAGTGAAGAATGTGCTCTTGATCTTCTTGGGGACTGAGGCAAGAAAAATATTTACATGGCCCCATCATGCTTCTGTTAACTACACATTATTATAAATAAACTTCTGGTGCTTTGCTGCTTTATCAAAACATAGGTTTGCTGTTGAAACTGTGACTACATCCTGTCAGTCTAGGAAAGAGGTGTCTTATACCTCCTTGAGACAGAGCTTGAAACAATCTAGTTGTAAAAAGAAGGTTATTTCAACTTTTAAAAAGTGATCTGACCAAAATCCATCCAACTCTTCTATGTAACCTCTAGTACTGATCGAGGTTGATTGCATATTTGAGTGCTGTTTGCGGCATTTTGTTAATGGCCTCAGAATACCTTTTTTTTTCCCCCGATACTAATAACAAGACTTTGGATGAACAGTGACAAGTACATAAATTCAAATTCAATACTATATCTCTGATACTGATCAGATAGGTTAGATTAGCTGGTTGTTTCTGAAGGACAGTTAATTTTTTTTTTTGTTTAGCTCCATTGTTTTAACATTGCCACATGTTTGTACTAAAAATAAGGCTCTTTGACGTTTGTTCTTTCCCTGTCCATCTCTAAAGCTGTTGCTGTGTTAAAATAACAAAACCATAAATTATTAGGGTAGTGTTCTATATCTTTGTGAAACAAAATGCATGTCTGTTCTGGGTGTGGAGTTAATACCTAAAAGTTTGCTCTTCTGCCGAGCTTCTCAAGCTTGCAATGTTTTTTTCCCCTTCTCCACCTGATGTTGGTATTGAGACCAACAGAATTTCCAATGCCACAGGATGCCTTCTGAAGTTAAGTTTTGTTTGTGGAGTATTCTTTGGTCTGGCATTTGGACTTTCTCCTCAGGTTCTTGAAACTGAAGTGAATGTTTCTACTATTATAGTAGAAGTCTAGTTACTGTTAATCTGTATTTGTTGCAGTAAATTTAGTGATACATATCATCTTCACTAAAAGCTTCCAGTCAAATAAGAAAAATAATTGGAATAAAACATTCTGTACCATTCAATTCAATGTCCGAATGCTTTTAAACTTTGAAACCTAAAACTTAATTTTCTGTTCTTATTACCAGTTTAGTTGATTAAATTTGAAAATTGCTAAAACTGGAGCGGTAAATTATGTGTAGCACAGATGTGTAATGATGACTCATATCCAAACAGTGGGAAAATCCCTTCTCTTCAGAGTACCAGTCCTCAGTATTGATCCATTAAATCTTCTGAGAAGATTTTTTTAAAAAACTGTACATTTTAGCAAATTGGTACCCTCAGCTTGGGCCACTGATAGCAGATCATGTGTCAGAACAGTCTGTCAGAGCTTAGTTACTTAGTAAAAGCAGAAAAAAATCAGATAACAGAGGAACACAGAAAAAAAAAAGTCCGAAACAGTAGTGTTTTGGACAGACATCTAGGAAACCAGCTAATTTCATTACCTCTGCTATAATAAGAATATTGTTTATAGATTTGTTGGAGTAAATGCATGTGGGGATTATTTAATGGAGTACATTTTTATACCTTATCATATCCAAATGGTTCCATGTCCTTGGTACCTCTTTAAAGTGCACTTTAACTGAATGGCACTGTGTAAAACAGTGGAAGGCAAAGAGGTGACAGAAGGAGGGCATTAGGAATAAGAATACTAGAAAAAACTAGTATGTATACAACTAGAAAATTATGGCAATAGTGGAAAGCCAAGATAAATTACATAAGATGGTGATATAAACATGTAACAGATACACTCAGTGGATTCAGTGAAGGATACATCCTATGGTAAATGAGAAAAATGGAAGCTGAGTTAGGATAATCTGCACATAGGGAGGATTAAGGACAAGGAAGTGATGAATTTGTAATACTACAATCTCGGATTATGGGTTGTCAGTCAATTTTAATATCCTGATTTTGTTGGTTACATTTTGTTCTGTTTTTTTCTTTGTAAATATCTTGCAAACTGTGCTGTTTAAGTTGTAATCTTTGTGATCCAAGCAAATAATAAAACTTTAAAAACAAACCTTCACACATTTTACAGCAATGTCACAACTGAAGGAAGAACAGAGTGACATGCAGGAATGGAAACAAGAAGTGAAAGACAGAACTGGGAATATTTGACATCAGTAACACTGCCAAATATTTTACATCAAGAAAGGCCAGCCAGATTCTTCATCACTGAAATTAGATGTATTTCAAGTAGTCTGGGTCATCTGTCTAGCATGTGATATTTTTTGGAGATCTTTACAAGCAATGAATGTTCAAATTCTGGTGTTAGCTAAGCAATACTTCTCTCATTTGCAGGAGAAACAATGACAAAAAGCTAGAGCCTGATCTTAATATACTGATGTGATTGGGAATAATCTTGTTTATATCTGCTTATGTAATGAGGTAGGGAATTTAATCTAGAGAAATGGTGTGTTAGATGAGGCTTCTTATAGCTCAAGATGATTTTAATTTTATGGTGTGTAGTGGTATATGACCTTGGGAGGAACACCAAAAGTCAGTTGTAACTGGCTCTATAACTCTCACAGTTCTTCCTTATTTCCTTCTTGTTTTGGAGCATGAATAGTTGTCGCAATTCAACCTACTTGATGGGGGCGGGGGAGTATTAGCCAGACACCTGGTCTCACTTCCTTTGGACAGGAGGCCTAACAGAGATGGTAACTGCAAAAGAGTGTCAACCGTTAGGCTCGGCCTTGAATAAATTAGAGACATGTTTCCAGTATCCACTGAAAATATTGCTTTGTGAGAAACATTTAAGCTTATCTCTGCATGCTTGTACCAAAAAATAGTACCCAGCCATTATGAAACCAATTGTACAAACAATATTTGTTTTCAGAAGTGGAGACTAAAATGTTGGAGGAAGTTTCCTCTTTCTATTTGTGAAAGGAGGAGAGTATTCTTTTGAAGTTGCCCTGATTTTTATTAATACCATAAATATGCTAATCCCTCTTCTTTCCAATTTTTTTTATTTGTCTGCCAACTTGAATAACAAATTTTCCGTAAGGAATATCTAAATATGAAACTGTATTTAATTTCCTCTGTTTACTTAAATATTAACTTCTTTATTCTTAGCTCATTTTTTTTCTTCCCATCAGTTGGAACTCAAAACACATGCCCATTCACTTCTGGGTGTGGATTAATTTTTATTGCAGTGGTAGTTAGCCACAGCACCTGGAAGTGAGGCCTTACTGTATAAGGCATTATATAAATTCATAGTAGCTATTTCCCTTCTTAAAGAGTTTAGAATCTAATTAGATGAGCAAATTAAAGGCTGTCAGGAAACTGGATGCAGGTACATACAACATTGAAATATACCCACAGGTTGCATAGTGAATGCACAAAGAAAGGCCCATGACCTCACGAGTTTACAGTCTCATGAAGGAAAACGGCAAAAGTTTTTGGATTTTTTTTTTTACCTGAGCTGTTAAGCTAGAAGAAGTCTTTGCTGAGAGAGATGCTATTTTTTTTTCTGGAAACTGGTTTTTAGTACTTGCTGCGATCATCCTTTTAAAAAGGAAATTACATTGAAAGATTCTATTCTTTAAGGGAAGGGTAGTTTTGATTTGACTAAAGTTAAAATAGGACTGTTGATTTAAATTTGCTTGTGTCTTGGAAGCATGTATTCAAATTTGGTTGTTTGCTTTACATGGGGAAAGGAGGTTTCTGATGACATAAATATTTTGGGGTTTAGGTGTTTTTTTTAGTGCCTGGCTTCTCACTTCCATCCAAAATGCAGACCAGTTAGCCTTTCCAGATATCAATCCTTATTCTTTGCTTCATTTTTAGTCTTAACATCGGTGAAGGAGCCTTCTGAGGCCAAAATGGAACGACGTTGCCCTGTTCTTTCGAAAGAGACTTCTTCACAAGGGTCCACACATGGTCAAAGAGAAATAAATGAAACCATAGTGACTGAATTAACTTTACCCGATGAAGAAGTAACTCAAATAGAAAATATACTTGATCTCTGGAGTGGAAATCTTAAGGTATTTATTTGTATGGAATCCTAAAAAATCATATACGGATGTCAGTGTGTTGTAGAATAAGTGAGAGTGCAGGAAAAGTTGCAGTGTGATTGCACTGGGAAGTGGTCGTTTTCTTTTTGATGGTGTGGCTTATTGCATATAAGCACTAGAATATCTTGTTTCAAGAACTTTGGAATAACTTTCTCCATTAGGGGTGTTCAGTTATTCAATAGTCCATTATGTCTGGCAATATATATAAATAGCCTGTGTAATGAAGGCATCACTGTGAATATTCATGTCTCCTTAATTGCTAAGTGTTTTAAGATTACAAGAATAGGAAGGAGGGAATAATTTTGCTAATTGCACTACTGTCATCCCTTTAACTTTTCAGACAAATGTTCTGACTGAGTTGAGAAAATGGAAGCTCAGTTTGATCGAACATCACAAGCTTCAAATGAGACAAGAAAAAGAGAAACACGCTGCACAAGTGAAACAATTGAGCAATGAGATGGAAAACCTTAAGGAGTTGCTACATACTTATGAAATCTCTATTGGCAGGAAAGATGAGGTAGTAATTCAATTTCATAATTCCACAGTTCCTCTCACTAAAATATCCACACTTTATTTTTGGGTCCATCTCTTCGAACAAAATTCTTTTTGCAGCAAGTAACACAGAGAAGTAAATAATATATTTAGACTGTATAGTAGAAAAAAGAATCATTGTTGCTAATAATGTCCATACTAACAACTTCAGTTAATTGATAATGCAGTAAAACAAACTTTTAATACTAACATTCCTGATTTATCAAAATTGTCTTTCAAATAAGTGATTCTTCTGACTTTATGCTACAGTAACATGTGATTATAAGGAAGTAACACAGAAGCCTGCAGATGTAGGATGAAATAAAAATTCAGTTGAACTTTTCCTAAAACTACACAGTGAAAGTGTTTAAGTGCTGCAGTCTGAGTGTTAAAGCCATGGGAATTGTAATCCTGATTTGAACTCTGATTGTTGTTTCCAGCTTGATTGGAGTAAGGGGAACAAGATTCAATAGAAAGCACCTGTTAAAAGCAAATGCTTTAAGTGAAAAATAACTCATATGTAAAGTACATTCTATATGACCTTACAAAGAACATAGCTATTGAAATAGTGTTAATTATTATTTTTGCAGGTGATTACTAACTTGACCCATGCATTAGAGAGACAAAAGGAGAGAATGGAGTTGACGAGAAAGTTTGCACTGTGGCGGGTTCAGCATGTTAAAGCCAAACAAGAGGTATGTACACAAAATAAATATGCGATTAAAATGAAACCTCTGAACTCAAAAGGGTCAGAGTTGCTGCAGTTCCTGTTACAGTTTGAAGAAATGTTTCTATTTTGATGTGTTTGACAAAGTCAAATAACAGTTTGAAAACATCGATTCTAAAAGGAATGCTGCTGTCGTAATACTCTCTGGGATGGGGAAAAAATTTGAGCCTATACTTGTCTTATATTGATCCAATTGCTGTGATCAGCTCACAGCAAATCACTGTAGATGACAGTATCTACATTTTGAAGTAGGTACGAAGGGAATCTTTATCTCAATTTCAAACATCTCCTGTTTGAACAGTGATATGATACGTTATCACATTTTTTGGGGAAGCCACTTCCACGATTAAAACTTCAGCTGCCCTCTTTTCTCACATTGCCAAAACTTGAAGTAGCTAAGAGCCAGTGACACACAAAATGTTGGGGAAGGTGTCAGACATCTAACAGAAAACAGTCTACTAAGTGAACTATGACAGAAAAGAAGTATCCCATGTTAAGACTGCAAACCTTTCATGTTCCAGGCTGTTAAAAAGAAGCAGCTGTATTTGGGATCTTTGTTCATGGCTCCAGGTTCCTGGCTACACTAAAGTTCATTGACACTACCCAAAACTCTGCTGATTTGCAAAGAGGGATAGCCTTTTCTCTTTTCCTTCCCTCTCATCTTAGAATGTACTAATAATTTGGAGTCTGTTTTTTTTACTCAGCTCTTTTAATTTTTTCTAATTCATATCTGAAAAATAATTTTGTGCTGAAATACATTGTCTGGTGACTGTTCTGAAATAGAGTAGAATAATAGAATTGACTTAAAGGACTTTTTAAAGCATCTTGAAGTCTAAATTTATTAAAAAGATAGGTGTTTTATGGTAATCATCTGCAATCTTTGTGACTGCAAGTTTTATGTGGTTCCTGGAGCGAATCAAAATGTGCCACATATCCACTAAATGTCTTCACACATGCATGGTTACACCATATATGTGAGATGGTTGTTAAGTGTCATTGAGCTAGAATAAAAACACTTATATAACCTAGGAGTTCACAAATATGTCTTGTCATACTGGGGACGGTGACACTCCGTGATGTGTGCAGGAAGAAACATCAAGCTGCTGATGCTATGTTTGTGTCCTGCTTCGCTGCAGCATGTGTAACTCAGTTTAGGTGTTCCTAGTGTTGTCTGTGTAGTAAGTTGTGAAAGAATCATCCACGCTCTCTTGAGTACTTAAATATTTAGGAAACCTGGACTTGTATCTGATATGGTTGTATTTGTTTCTTAAGGAATACGCCAATAGAATAGCGGACAGACAATTCCGGACAGCTTTGATGAAGAAAGTATGGGCAGCGTGGCGCTCTCTTAGTGAGGAAAAATGGAAAGAAAAAGTAGCAAAAGCCTGTCAGTTAAGGGCAGAAGATGTGTGTGTTCAGCTCACCAATGACTACGAAGCCAAAATTGCAGAGGTAAAATAAGATTCTTTTTTTTCATTCTTTCTCTCCTTCACTCCCCCACCCCCCATCCCTCCAAAGTATCTCTGTGTTAGCAAACTTGTAAACCACGAGAACTTTCCATCAGAACAGAGCTCCCAAGTACACAAAAGGAGGTCTAAGATCTCAACTATGGTTTCTGGATGTGACTTTTTTTTTTTCCCCTGCCTCTGATATAAAATGTTGCTGATCTGCACGACAGGTGTAGTAAATTTGACTCCTCCCGAAATGAGACAAATCTCAGTTTGCCCACCAATAGAGATGGTATCTCACTGCACACTGTTAGTATTGGCTTTGCATTTTGAGGTCTTACTGAAGAAGACAATGGAAATAGCAGGCTGTTATTATTATGAATTCTCATGATGAGTACAATATTTTTTTCCTATAACAGCTACTCTGTTAAAGGCTGAATTCAAGTTTTGCCTTCAATTTGCCAATTAAGCTTGTTAAAGAATTTTCAGCTTAAGGTGTAGTTAAGTTATCAATGTCTGCATTGGTGCACAGTAAGTTCTAAAATACACATTTTAAAAGCTTTGTATTTTAACCAGAAATTAAACCTAGAATTTTAAGAACAGGCATACCAAATGTGGCTTGCCAGCACAGTAACAGTAAGTAGTGAGTTAAAAGGTCTGTTTTTTCTCAGCATTTTTGGCTTTTTATAGTAGCTAGAAAAGAGACATTGCTAATGACAATTCACCCTATGCTTAAATAGTTTTCTGGGAACAGTTATTCTTCTGTTGAGCAAATCCATGTTCCTGCGGAAATCTAGCTTCTGCCAGGTGCCTAACCTCTAAAAGACAAAAACTTGCTAGATAAATTTCGGCTTAGCTGGATAGGTAGAGTGACAGTGCTTTCAAATGCGCTCTTGTCCTTGGTATATTCTCGTATAAATAATGTGCTATAGTACAAAGAAATTATAAGTAGCTGTTAATCTCTGGTGAACCAGAGATTTTGAAGTGAAAATGCGTATCTTTGTACACATAGTAAGTGACTTTCAGAGCTAGTTGAGGAATATGTTTGTAGTTTGTGTTCAGAAGTACAAGAAAGCTGTTTCCTTACTCTTTTTCATAGCTAACTGCTGCTTTGGAAGAGACAAAAGGTGAGATTCTACAACTGCACAGTGAAAGAGGACAGTATGAAGACACCATGAAGAAAGCCTTTATGCGTGGTGTATGTGCTTTGAATCTGGAAGCAATGACGATGTTTCAGGGCAGGGACAGTAGGACAGATCCTGGTCAGTATAAAAAGCAGCTTTAATCTGGTAACGTGTATGCATGTTATTGTTGGATTTGTTTGGGGTTTTTTGTTTTAAAGGATTCTCCCTTTTCTCTTTTTTTTTTTGTGTGTGTGTGTGTGTGTGTGTGTGTGTGTGTAATATGGGGCCTTGTGGCAATACAGAATTTGTCAAACTCCGTGCTTTAAAAAGTTCTGTTGGATATGTTGAGAAATACTCTGATGCTGAGCTTTGTACTGCTGCAGTTGAAAAGTGGAACAAAGTCTTTTCATCTCACCTTGCTGGGAGGGTGGTAACCTGCAACTGAAGGCAGAACAAGAAGCCAGAGATGGCAAGCTTCTTTAAAACACTGTGGAAATTTACACAGAATTCTGTTAGCACCCAGGTTATGGAAGGGGGAGGGGGAGACCCTGGAAAACCCTCCTCTATTCTCTGGAGTCTCAGTATGCAATGAATCTGCTTTTTCCAGACAGCTCTCCCTTCTTTCTTAATCTTGCCTCTTAATGCAGAAAGGGCAAGTAAATCTCCCAGGTTCTGTACTTAGTTGGAGTTCTGTGCCCGAACAGGAAACACCAGTCTAATTACATCACCACCATACTCGTAAACCTCATGCAGCTACACAGGAAAGAGCTGCACACCCTCACTGATGTAATGAAATGACCCCATCAGAATGAGACAGTCTATAGCAGTAGGAGCACAATCATGCTGGTGCAGCAGTCTACATTAAAGAGAAAATAGCTGTGCCAGCAGGAGTGTGGCTTAACAACCAGCTGTACTGGCAGCAGTTGTTAATTAGGCCTTAGACAAGTAACTTCCGTTGCTAAACTTTACATTCTTATACCAGAAGTTTCTGAACTACTTCAGATAAATTCCTCCCCAAAAATGTAGATATGAAAGGGAAATAAAAACCTAAAGAAGGTATAAGAGGATGCTTACCTGAGCAGCTGTCTGAGCCTGTTAAACGTATGCGGTATTTGTGCAGTTGTTTAGGAAACTTGAGTATGATATTGACTAAGTGCAGTAGCTGTGTGCTAGTAAGAACATAGGATGAGTATTTGGGGAAGGTCAAGAATGAACGATTTCTTGAAAATACTGAGTTTGGGAATAAAGTTACAGGGCATTGCCCAAGTACTTATTTTTCACTGTGTTATAAGAACTAATCTCTCGAAGCTTTATCTTATATTTGTTTGTTTATTGTTTTCCAAAAACATGCACCAGACAATGAGTCTCCCTAATATTGATGGGTAACTAAGTGGTATGAAATAAAACCTGTAAAGAGGGTAAGTGGGATGGAAATGAAGAAAACTGAGCTCTAGAGCTGCCATGACCAACCCCTGGGGTTTGTGGACCAAACATTTTGCTTAATTTTTTTACTATGAAGCAGAAGCTGATACTCTACACAGGCACAGTACCTAGAGATTTTACTTTGCTTGACGACGCTGGAGTGCCTGTTACAAACCTTTTGGGTGTCCAGCATCATGCTTTTTAATTTCATGTAGTCACTGTAATCTTCATCTGGCTTCATAACATCTCACAGTCTCTGTTGTCCTTGGTCCCATGCCTGGCATCTTCTTCTGCTACCTCTTGTACCACCTTCTCCCTCGCCCCAGGCACACTGTCTCTTTCTTGCTACAGCCAGATGGTGCTTTTAATGAAGTTAGTTACATAATTATTTAACATGGTTGTACAACCATTTAGTTGCATTCTTCCTCAGGTATAACAGAGCAGTGATCGGGACATCAGGGGACATCAAACATCAGGCTAGATTATTCTGATTTTTTTCTGGTCTTGTGATCTGTGGACATTAAAACTTCCATGTGCTGGAGTCAGTCAGTGATAATATATTTATATGAACACTGGAGTGCCACCTGCTGTCATTGGAAATAAATGCAGATTTAATCCCTTTACAGATTTATTATTATTAGGTTATTATAATTTACATTTAATATGCATACAATATACAAATAACATACATCTATATTGTAACGTATGTTATTAATAGTGTGCCAATATCACAACCTTAATGGGTCCATAACATTTGGTGTCAGTGTTGATGGTCTAAGATCTGTCTGGCTGATCTACTGACAGGTGGCTTTTTAAATTATTATTATATTAATATTATTTTTAACCTTTTTGTATATTTAAGGAACATTGAAGCTACAAGAATTCATTACTTTTTCCTTTTAAAAAAAACCAACAACACTGCTTTTTAAGTAACATAGATCAGATCTGATTCATCAGTAACTATGTATTAGCCCTTTCTATGCTTAAGCTTAATGTGTGTGTACATACATTGAACTACCTTCCTTATCTTTTTCCTGCTCGCTTCAAGAGAAAAAACAAACAAACCTCATAACTACCACATGGTGTCACTCTAGTCCCTGGAATGAGGAAATTTCGCTTGTCCTGGAACTGGTGCTACCATCATCTGCTTCAGAAAATCAGAGAGTAAATAATAATACCTCTCTCTGGTTCCTTTGAGGAAGTTTGATTTCTAAAGGGAAAAGCTGAAACTGCTTGGAAAAGATACTTGGCTTAGGTCTGCAGATCTGACCTCCCCAGGATGTCTGCTTTGCAAGACAAAGAATCCTGGACGGATTTTGCACAAGCTCAGGCTTACCCAGCTAGTGGGGGGAGATGAAGGCTGTAGGGTGCCCATAGGTGGTCCAGCCCTACGGCCAGGATGTGGCCAGTGTCCAGCCATTGGAGGTGAGATGCTGCTGAGCGTGATCTATGGCTCCTTGAAATTGCAGTACGTACTCAGGAAAGTTAAAATAACATATTTTTTTTACCGACAGTGAGCCCCCTTCAGGATCTTACACCCTCGCAGAAGTCCTTTGTATGGCCTTTCTATGTTTTGCTGCTCTCTACCTGAACTGGGTTTTGGTCGTTAGCGTAAGAGCAGTTCTTGCACACTGGCTTTGGCATTGGAAAGCAGTATTTGCACTACAAGTACGTGACAAATGCCACAGGGACGCTGAGGCATAACACAGAAATAAGCCACTTGGAAAATATTATTTCCAAGCATCTGAAAAGAACGGTCAAATAGAGGTATGTTTAAATGTGTATACATACCTATAACGAACAGGCTGATCCTTTTAATTGGATTACACAGAAACCCCAAAGGAATAGTAAAATTTTTACTGCGACTCCTCTCTTTTTTCCTCTTAGGGTTTGCTGGATTATGTGCTGATCCCATTACTTTGTGTTTCTAATAATAGATGTAGGAAGTAGAAGAAATGATAATGGTGCCATCGTTGCAGGAAAGCTACCTCCTTCACAATATAATCTGCCCTCACCGCCATCTCCACCAGCAACTGCTTTTCAGCTGGAAGATATGGTGAGCATGGAACTGCATTAGCTAGTGACGGAAATGAACTTCCTCGATTGGAGCTTTTCAAAAATAAATGCTCTAGCCCATGACTTTAGGGAATTTAAAGACAGTCTATGTCTAAAATACCTATAGGTTTCTTTTTCAGACCACATGGTGTAAATGAAGTGACACAGCTGCTGTGACTTGCTATACTTTCATTAAGCTCCAGTTTTCATTTTAGTGAAAATGTGTTAAACTGATGAAGACAAGGTCACTATAATAAGCAGAATTTGCTCTCTAAGGTTCTTTCTGGAAAAAAAGCTGTTGAGAGTTGGGGTTTTTTTTTTAAAAATGGGCTGAATATAATCTGAAAAGAGGAAAAGCTGGCTTGACTTGAAGCTTCTTTTTTAAGAACAGACTTTTTTTTTTACAAATTTAAAACATGTAGACACCAAGGGAACTCAACTTAGTGTCCTGTCATGTCAGCTGAGCCAGATCATTATCCAGTAGCTTGGGTGTTCTGGACCTGCCCTGAGGTCATCCTGAAGATGCTGCCACTGTAAAACAATTTCACGCTAGCATACAAGTTAAAACAGAGGAGATGTGCTTGCTTCTCTCCTGATTTTTCATCTAGTAGTATCAAATGTTATTCATACTATTTCTACAATTTTTAAAAAAGTATTTTTAAATTATCCAGAAAATGGTAAAACTAGAGATAAAATTTATGAAAAAAAAAAAAGTTAAATTTAGAAGGGTAACCAAAATAGTCAAAAAACTCACTATCTAAAGAGTAAAACTTGAATTTTCTAGAAAGTTATACTCATTCTTTGTAAACTCTGGTTTCACTCACAGTTTTCTACCCACTTGGGTCATGCAAGGACTTCTCAGACCAGGCTAGATTCTGATTCTCCAGTAATCATCACTAGCACAGCTGCAGGATCTGGTGTAGCATCCACTCAAAAACTGGTAAAATGCTAAAATTAACTTCTGGGGGGTTTAATGCATAATTAGAACAAATATTTGTTTGGGTATTGTTATTTCCACGTTTTTCAGAGCAACACAAGTATTTAGTTGAGGAGATAACCAAGGTTTTGCATAGCTGTGTGAAGCAGCTATCTTGCAAATGCTTGTTGCTCTTACAGAAACCCATTTATGTTAGGAACAATTTTAGATTATTTTTGGAGCGGGCAAGGGGAAGTGTGACAAAACGAAGAACAGGAGAGTGCACATATGCTTACATACAGCGCAACAGGAACAACTGGTGTTTCACGTGATATCATTTTGTTACAGAAAGAATATGCTTTGCTTTAGCATCCTGCTGTTTGAAATGTCTCTCTCATTCCCTCTTCTGTATTTGTTGTTAAACTGTCCTGTTTACTTTTCCACGCTGTCTTCTGTATTGCTCTCCTTTCTTTTTCCCATCTGATACAGTTTGCTACCAGCTGCCAGAGAAAGATGCAGCAATTTACTGTGTGGAAGCTTTTATGTATCTGCTGTGTCACTACTAGAAAGACTTTCCAGGGTGATCGAAGTGCCTGCAGCTGTCACTCGAGTCTGCAGCCAGTGAGCAAAGCTAAACTATCCGTGCTGCTTGATTTTTATCACATTAGCCTTACTCCCCTCAGGATAGAAGTCACTTGTTCAAAACACTGTCTCAGAGTGGAAAAAGATGGAATAAACCAGGTTGCAAATAGGTGGAGCAAATTCAGTCCCATGTAACGTTAACTGGATTTCCGTCAATATCCCATGTTCTGTTCAGGCATGTTGCTGATAAAACTAAGCAGATATATTAGAGCATTTTAAACACTATGTCTAGAATTTTTTACCAACTAATACTTAATTTATTTGTAGCCCATGGCGAAAGTAATAACATCTGCTCAACAGAAAGCAGGAAGAACAATCACTGCTCGAATCACAGGCCGAGCTGACATGGGACAAAAAGGCAGATTTTGTGGTAGTTTAGCAATGATGGGAGTTGCACCACCCATGAGTTCAGTCATTGTTGAAAAACATCATCCAATTACTCAGGTAAGTCAGAATTATGCTCGTAACAGTATTCTTATTACAACAGATCTGGTAGTAGTTTAAAGAAGAATTACCACTGTGAAGAGGTATTAGACGAGGCTCAGACTTGAAGCCTGTTCAAAAGAACAAACAGTACTGCCTTTGGGCTAGGTAGAAGGCACTGGTGAGGAGAGGAAGTGAATATTGCCACTTTAATCTAATTGTCTTGTTTCTGCAGTAATTATTTCACAGGTATAGTAGTCTTGGCTGTCTCTTTTGTGGCCAGCTCTTCCGTGAGTCTTCCTCTTTGTAGAAGCCATCAATTGGTAGAGCAATGTTTTGTGTCATCACCATGCAACCACAAGTTAAAGACAAACTTCATGGTGTACAGCAGGAAGAGTTGACTGAACCAGAGGTGGTACAGATGTAGATTAGCCTGACAGGCTGAGCGTAGTAAATTATTTGGGGAAAAAAATTGCCCCTGTCCAGACGCAATCAGTATTTTGAGTCCTACTTCCCCCATTTATCTTGAAGAAAACACTGAAATAATTGCATTAATAGGTTATGAAGGCAACACACAAGACAAACAGTGGCCTAAATGGCCTAGGCAATCACTGCACTTTTAGACCAATCTGAGCAAAAATGGTTTTAACTGGAGGTATAGAAAACAGTTGAAGATTTTTTTTTTTTTACTATATTTTAACTTGTGAAGTAGGATCTAAATTCTCTCTGTGATATCTGAGAGTCCAGTTTCTCTTCAGATATACTGCCAGAGCAAGCAGAGCTTACATCAGGCCCCTTAATTTGAGCTGGAGTTACTGGTAACTGTCTGTGTGAGGGATGTTCTGCATTCACTCATTTCCTGCAGGGAATCAGAGCCCTGTAGCAGGCTGCACGTAGCTTTCAAAAATTTGGGCTTCTAAGCAAAAATATATATTTAAATTCTATGCCCTTAGGGGGTTAGGGTTTTGGTGTGAGACTTCTTTCATTAAGAACAATTTTTGGATTCAGATTGTGTGACAAGTAAGGTACCTGAACTACTGTACTAAAAACTGACTTCTAAAAATGCAATAAATGTGACAGTCTCAGAGATATGTTCCATATACTCTTTCAGCAAATAAATGCCTAAGTGGAAGTCAAATCAGATTGAAGTATTTCTCCTGAATTAATCTGAGAGTGGAGAGAGTTTATCTTGATTAAAAGCAGAGTGACGACTGTTTATTGCAGTAAGGTAGGCAGTTTTGGGGGGAGAAGATTCATTGTTAAATATATGCAAACCTTTTCCTTTCTGAGACTTCCTCATAGCAAATACTGAACTTCAAAAGGAAAGTTTGCATAACTAAATTAGCGCTACAGAGGAAAATTCTGAAACAATTTGGTAAAAAAGCAAACCAAACAACCTTGAAATAAGACTGAGGTAATAAAAGCTCAGGGTACCTAGTTAACTGGAAGCTTAGAACTTTATGTTCTAAAAAGTATATTACAGATAAGAAAGGGAAAAAATTTTGCCGTCAAGGTAGCCCTTTTTTTTTTTTTTTGAGAAGTATATTATTTCAGTTTGATGGATTGCAAATCTTTCTGTTTAAATTACAGCTCACTTAGAGCTATTTTAATGGCATGGTTTTTTGTGCAACTAAGTGTTTTGATGTATCTGATTACTTTTCAGCAAACCATATCCCAAGCCACCGCTGCTAAATATCCTCGAACCGTGCTCCATTCTTCTGGTTCTACCACTGTGAGACCTGCAGGACAAGTTGGGCGAATGCTTCAGAGCCAAACTTATACCAGTGTTCAGTCAATAAAAGTTGTTGACTGAGTGAGTAACTTTCTCACCCATGGGGTACAATTTAAACCTCTTCCCAGTCTTTTCAGGTTTGATGTAGCAAGGCCTAAAGTATGTATCGTGTTTTTACCCTTTTCTAAAAATTTTTTTTTTTTAAGTAAAAGTGCTTTTATAGTAAACATCTGGAGGGGAAAAAAAGAACTTGAAATGTTGTTCTACCTCCAAACTGTTTGAGAACTTATTTTATTAAGATAAACACTTTTTATTTAAGGAATCTTTTGCACACTTTTAAATAAAGGATGGAATGTGATTTTTTTTTTTTGTCTGAATCTCTTCATTTAGTCCCAATGTTACTAACATCTACTTTCAAGTGAAAATTAAATTTAGTTACTTTAGTTGCTTATGCAACTAAGTGTAGTTGACATGCATTTTAATTATATCCTACAACAGCATACTAAAATGAAAAGTAACAGAGTGGTATCCTTCACACCCAGGGTGTGACTTGGGCCAGGTGAGGTACCAAGTCCATCAAATTGTTAACTATTCTCATTTTCCAAGCTAATGTTGCAGAATTTGATGCATACCTGTCAGGACCTAAGAGTTTGTGATCTTTAGATCCCTGATTCCAAAACCTGAGGATTGACCAGTTTGTTCTTCATGTTCCTGTGATGCTCTACAGCCATGTCAAAAGAGGACAGTTAGGCATAAGACTTCAGACTAAGATACAGGTCATCATCTTTTTAGTACAAACAAACAGTAAGATTCAGTACAAAATAATGCTAGCTATATGTATAGATAGACAAGACAATTCAATTCTTCCATTACATGATATTGCTATTTCGTTATAGAGAAGACTATAGATAGGTGTTTTACATAAATTTTCAGATACAAAATATATTCAATGAGATAACCTTTAAACATATTCAGCAAAACACTACCAAACATTAATTCAAGACATGAACAAAAAATAGGTAAATAATTCCTAGATGTGTTAAGTATTAAATATTAAATGTTCTTTTTTGAGTATGTATACAAGGTTATGCCACGATAGAAAATTCTGCAGCCAGCCACACATGGTTTTAGACACGACATTTCTGTGTATTTTCACTACATAAATGCTGAAGAAGAAAGGCTTGTCCTAATCCTAGCACTAATAAAACAAGAGAAAAGCCCTCTTCAGACAGGAACACTATAATCCTAGCAAGACTTTATAAAAACCTAAATCCCAAAGGAGGCCAGGTGCCAACCTGTTTCTGGAAGTGTTGATTTATACACATAATTTTCGCTTATTAAATTTCATTTCTTTCAGGTAGAAAACATCTCATTTACATTTCATGTCAAACACAAAATAGCTTAATTTGCAGTTCGAATACGGAATTAGTGTATCAGTGTTAAGAAAGGTATAGAAATTGTAGGGGTTTGCTCTTGCTAAGCAGTATAGTCATAAACTACCAGCCAGACATTCACTTTTAAATTCTTAAAATCATTGTATAGCCAGCATACGAGAAAGACCTAACCAATATTTCAGGATTGCAAGTTCTTCTAGCTTAGAAAAGTCATACAACTTCAAAATAGGTTTTTGTTTCCAGAACAGGTATTTGTATCTGAAAGTCACTTTCCATCTGGCATGTAATTCCATGATATATGCCAAGTTTTATTGATGAACTCATGAAACTGCACATTTTCTGGAGTCCATGTCAGTGCTACTTGCACCTCTGATCTTCTCTGTAAAGTAAGAAGAGAAAACACTTGCTTGATGTGCTCTGCTTTTTACAAGGTCAGACTAATCTAACTAAAGGATGGCCAATCACAATTTAGGCATATTTGCACGACAAAGGAGGGAAGCCAAGTTTCCACATTTTTATGTTTTAGAAATCTCATGTTTCACTTAAATGCTCTTCCTCAAGCAATCTCACCCCAACACACACACGGGGAAAGTCCCAGAAAAGAAGAGAGTGTCCTCCAGCTCTGCCACGGTCACACCTTCCCAGCACCAGCAGGGACCTCAGCACCACACTGCAGTCTCACAGTGGTCAACGTGACGAGGTCTCTAAGAACTTACCAGCTAAAGGCTGAAATCCTGTTTCCATCAGATCTTCATATATATGCTTGACAGGATTCTGACGTGCCAGCAATATACCGTGTAACCAGATGAGCAACATTCTGTTTCCGTGTTCCTTATAACTTTTTTTCCCTATGCAACACACAAAGCATTTGTCTTTCCATGTGCTGGAAACCAGTGTATTTTGTGCTTTTGCACTTCTAGGGTTCCAAGAGGTTTTAAAACCTACTCATTTATTCTCACTGCCTTTCTCACCTAGCAACAAAATGAAGGCTGAGACTTACAAAGGTTAAAAAAAAAAGTGCCCACAAAAAATCTAGTTTTATCCTAAGGCTGCTGTAAAGGAAGGAAAAAAGCTGTAATATATCTTAAAATAATTTTTTTTTTCTTCAACATGTGGAAATATACCCTGGAGTAGCAGTAAACAAGTACAATCTGTGCTATAAAAGCATTGCTTCCCCAGCACTTGACATGCCTGAAACCAGAAACTGCTGTTTCATGGCAGCTGTGAAAGCAGAGCATGAACCAGGTCTTCCTGTGTCATGAGGTTCCCCGGGTCCTCATTTGCAGCATGACCTGCAAGACCCTTCCATGCTGCTCGCTGCTGGTTTTGAATTCCAAAGATGAAGGTTCCTTCAGGCCAAGAAGGAGAACAGAAATGGCATGTAGTTCTACAGCACTGCTTCCCAGGAACCGGGGACAAGGCTTGTACTGATTCACTGCTCTTTTTCATAATCTGAATAACAGTGGCATGGCCAGTGTATCTGTGGCCACGCAGTTTAAAAAGCAACTCTGGTGGTTTTTACAGCTTATCTATTATGTCTAGCCATTCAGAAATTGTTACCTGTCCATTGTTGTTCAATAGCTTTAATTTGTTCACCGGTGAACTTCCAGAACAGGGCCAGTTTTTTCCATTCCTGGGGTTTTAACTGGTTGTATGCTAGATTCCAAAGGGAGGAACGGATTTGCTTGGTCTGCATACTATGATCTTGTTTGAAGGACAAGCTGAAGTCTGACCTGTCATCACTGTGAGCTAGGTGCTCCTGAAAAAGCAAGCAGATGATAAATGCTAGAACGAAGCTGGGAACCTTCGCTTAGTGAGCAGTGAACACTGTGTCCTGTACAGCCATACGTAGCTACTGACAGGTGGTTTGCTTGGTGCAGGCAAAGGCATGTTTGGCTAGCAGAGCTCTTTGGAAGATGTCTTAGCATGGATGTTATTACAGTCCTAACAACAGAACAGAAACTAAGCCCTCTGGTGTCTATTGCTGTGTCTCACTAATGTAAAACAAACCACATTCTTTCTCTGGCACTTGATACCCAGCAGCAAGTAACTACGCCAGCACTGCTTGGCTCTGTACACGTCACGTTTTGAACAGGGCTGGGTTTCAACCGCAGTGCTTGCTCTTTCTTCTTGCTTCTACAAGTACTAACCTCTCCCTGAGAAGAGGCTGGGCACCCTCGGCATGGCGCTTGCTCAAGCTGTTCCCACCTCTGCCCTGTCAGCTCTGCTTGGCTGCAGCGGGGACTACCAGGTCATTTGATGGCAGCATGAGCTGTTCAGCAAAGTGTCTGAGCACCAATAAGCACATGTGTGTGCCCAGGAAAAAAGCCTCATTCCCAGTGTCGGTAGGCTCGAACATTTCGTTTTGTTTACATGCTAGTCCTCTTTCAAATCAGTCTCCAAAGTGAAAAATGTCTTCAGGAAGTTGACACAGGATTACAAAGCAGATACTAAGCAAAAAAGGAGGTGGCAGCATGCCATGTTTTTGAAGTGCTAAGCATAAAATACTCCATTCCAGGCTGAATTCAGACAAATATGACAGGGTTATTTGCTAACCTTACAAGAGCCTTGCGAGGAAAAAAAAAAATTTAGTTCAGTAACTAAGCATTGTTGTGTTAGTTTGATTCTATTTTTCTGGTGCAGACTTTATTTCATGCTTCCTGACCCATACAAGGTATGGTTTAGGACATTCTACAGGACAGCTTCAGGCTCTCCCCACTTCAGTGTTTCACTTCTGAGGTTTAAAAACAGCAAAACCAACAAAAAAAAACACACAAGCAAACAAACAAAACCCACTTTTCTTCTCCCTTTGCAGCAGCACAGATCCTCTTTGCTGCTAATTTTGTCTCTAGGCAATGGCAGGGTGGGACAGTAACAGGAGCCCTCAAATCAGTCAAAAACAGCCTGGACAATGATAGGGAAGGGTTGGGTAAAAGCAGTAAATAGAAAAAAGGACAAACGGAGAGAACAAGACACTCCCACACACATTAGTATCATGCGCTTCCTCACAGCAACATGACATTTCTTTTTGTAACTAATGCCTTGTCACAGATGATAAATCAGCTCAATGCAACAAAAACTTACAATAATGGTTCAAAACTCTGTAGTTTCATATATAGCAACAACCTGAACAATGTCATATTCCATAACTGTAGGACCTAAGCTGCTCCCAAAGGTTGTGCGCTTAGCTTCAGGTGATGGGATGCAAACACTTATCTTTCTATTTCCCAGCATCTGTGGAGCTCCTGCAGAAAACCACCTGTACAAACATGTTTTCTTCTCCTCAGGCAATCCAGTAAATAATGCCAAGAGGTTATGAGGTTGACAGGCTCACTGCTGTCAGACTTGTCGTGTCTTCTCTGGCAACAGATTACTTCACTTCTAATTCCCCTTTAAGCCAAAAGAAACAAAAATGTACCTGACAGCTCCAGCTGAACTGATACAAATCAAATACACACAACACAGGGAGTCTGTGGAGGTGTTTTTCATAATAATTAATCTGTAATTTACCAGCACAATGCCCTGTAATGTTAATTGTCACAGATTTGGACATGCAGGGCCAGAGTGGGGTGGTGAAACTGGCTAATTCATGTGCCTGCACTCGGGCAGGATCAGTATGCTTACGCCGCCCCAGGAGGCACTTGGCTAACCTGGTAACAGAAACGCTCCCTAGCAGTTTTTATGAGAATGAAGCTACAGATTTGTGCCGCAGCTCAGCAATGGGAGCGCAAGAGCTGGCAGTCAAGTGAACTCCTTTCACCAGTCCTTTTGGTCCAGTTTGCTAGCTCTGGTGCTCACAGAATTACCTGCTCTACATAAGTAAACTGTGTTAGCATCTTCCTTCTTGCAAGTTTTATGGTGGATGCTACATGAGATGTCTTTTACCGCCTGACTAGGACCAGTCTGCAAACAAAACATGCATTTGAGAGAGTGTGGGGATTTAAAACTGTATTGCGTCAAAACCCAGCAAATTCAACCAGTTCTCAGGGAGCCCACATGAACCTATGGCTCCACACAAGAAAAAGTGAGCCAGCAAATACAAGACTGACTTAGGGAGCATAATATGCCCTAAAATGAACCCTTCATCCTATGAAATACCTCCCTTTCATCAAGTGGTGCAGATACAGCAGGTTCTTTGTGGCTCATTGCTACAACTATCATTGATGGACTAAATAAACTTTCTTAGAATTCTAAATGGCCCCAGTTAAGATCCCATGACATGAGAACATGCTGAATTTTCAAGACCCATTTGGACTGGGTCTGAGTTTCAAGGCGTGTCTCTAGAATGGGCCTCACCAGCAGCCCAGCACCAAATACTCCTTTGATTTTAAGAGGCACTAAGCTTAGCTTTTCATGTTCACTTACTGCCTATAGGCTGTGCACAGATTCATAAGTGACGTGGGACAGTCAATGCAGGCCGAAGTAATTGTTATTTACACTTTAACACATCTGGCTCAGCCCTTTAGGGGGCTATGTTTAAACATGGGAAAGAAGGTTAGAAATTCAGACAATCAGGTCAGTCTGAACCATGTCCTTCACACTTATTGCCTGGTTCTTTCCCATTTTATTGATTGTGGTTTATAATTAACACACATAAAACAGAAGAGGGAGCTCCTGCCGAAGCAGCTGAGCCCTTACTAGCAAATGAGTCACAGACACCTGCACTCCTCCATTTTTCAACCACGATTTTGCTGCACCAAAGGACGCAGGGATCAACATGGATTCAGGTCATCCCAACCCTGATGCGGATGGCACAGTTTGAATTTGGGTCAGAGGCTTTCTCCACCCCTTCATCTCTGTGTTGTAGAGCATGATGCAGGAAAACGGTAAGATCTGCCCACAATTTTACAGCTAGTCAGGAATAAAACCTGGATGGAGTAGAGACCTTCCTGTTCCCAATCCTAACCTCAATTTATCACGGCCAGTTTTGCAACCTGCCAAAAGGAACCACCTGAGGCAAAAGGCGCTTCAGTACCAGAATTAGCTTTTCCTTTATAGTTCTCAGCATAATGAAAGAAGTCTCTTACCTGTTTCATGGTATAATACCTTTCTGCTTTAATGATCATATCTACAATGAGGACATGACTGCTCCTTGATGCCACAGCTAGTGCAGTTTTTCCATGCTGAAAGCAGAGACAGTGCATAAGAACATTATCTCCTATGTATGAGGGTAAGCATATCACAGAAGAAACACAGGAACTTTGCTTACAGAGCCCCATCCCTTTTTTTCAAGAAAATGTATTACTACAATTTTATGGCTTCAGGGTAGCTACAATCAAAGTTATATGCTTTGCATGAGCTGTATCCCCTCAGCTCAGAGGTGGTCAAATTTTTTCCTGCATGAACTCCCCTTGAAGAACTTCTGGTGTGGTACAGCTGCTTTCAGAAACCTCCTGCACTCAGACTGCTGCATGCTTCATACCAGCTCGCGCTCTCCAGTCACTGCTTCCAAGTTCATGCAAGCCCAGGCATCCACAGGCTGAAAACTACCACAAATACAGACCATTCCCATGTTACAGTTAAACTGGCATTTCAGATGGATAGGCTGCCAAAGTTGGAAACCTCCCGCTTCATGGGCAAACCTGCACCTTATTTTGGAGAATTGGTATTATTGGTAAGAGAAGCTGGCTCACAGACTGAAGAGACGGTGTGGGAATGATTTTCTCACGACAACTGAAGTGAGCACAACTGAAGGTGATGTTTCATGGGTAGCAGAGGCAGTCAAAGGAATTAAAAACCATTGCTTTAATTCCAGCTGCAGAGGACTGCTCACTCTGCTGAACACACCTCTGCTATCAGCACTCTGATGTAAAGGCATCTCAGTGGCTCTGCAGGGTTGTCTCTGCAATTGTCCAGTTCTCTCTGCAATTTTCTGTCTTCAGCAGATTTGCACTGAGTGGAACTGCGGGTATTCTCCATATATCAAGTGCTAGACATTCTAGAAAATTAGACCTAAAAGAAGCGAACTCCTTAATTAGAAGTTTCAGTAATTAAATTATAAGGCATTCCAACTCTCCAGCTATTATAAAGTTCCCTAACATACACCTTTTGAGTTCCAGCTCCTGGCTCTGCTCAAGATCATTCTAATTAACCTGGTTTTAGAAAAGCATCACATTGAAAGTCAATAAATTTACATTTCATAAGATCTTTATAGCATAGACATACTTTATATGTGAGAGTCCAGAGACCTCCTTGGGTCTCACCTCTGGAAAGGTGCTCTGCATTTCACAGGGAGGTGGACGAGGTGGAAAAAGGGGGTGTTTCTGCCCTCCTGTGCTAGTGCAGACACACGTCGTGTGAGCACAAGTAGCATGGCAGTCTTCCACATAGGGAGCATTCTCTGCACTATCAATCACAACCAACATCTGCAGATGGCAGGAAGGAAGAGCTCCCAAGAGAGCATTTCCTGAGCTGTCACAGCTTGCAATTCATGCAGATGCATGACATGCTCTGGAGACTGTGGGCATGAAGGCCAGGAGAACACTGTGTAGTCGAAGCAGGCCACCCCTTTCTCCTGCCTACCGTTGTTCAGTAAGGACATTTTTGTCATCTCAGTGCCAGTTCAGTTCAAAGAGGGCTGTATTTGCAAATGTTCCTAGCAGTGGCATGTCCTCAGGGGTCATCCAGCAAACAGACAAGGGAAAAGCTACTCCGAGAAATAAAACCAATGCAGAAAGGTGACGGAACCTGTGCTGGCTCAGAGCCCTGTTCTCATAACACACCCTGAACTCTGCCAGCACAGCTGTGATACCAGGGCACTAAAGAGCCCAAAGGTTTGCAGGTGCTTATGGTCAAAACAGGCAATAAGAAGTCATTTTCTGTGCCTGCCCTTGGAATACGAATAGGTAGAGACAATTTTCCAATGGCTAAGGTGCTGTCTAAAGTGGACAAGATTTCACCCTGGGTTCGCCTGTATGAGAACTGCAGCTGTCTGGCTAGTGTAGGCACGACTCTGAATGGAAAGGCTTAACTGCTATGCAGCATCTTACCTCAGCCTCCCAAAACATATCAACCATGTCATCCGCACTCAGAGCCCTGAGCCTCATGTCAGGCTAGGGAAAAAAGAGATGATCCTAGTCCATAAATTTTTACTCCTCATCAAAACAGTTTTGTGCATGAAAATTACTTTTTAAAATTACTAGAGAGCTACATTTTGGTCATGATAAACATCAAACCTGTCAGTTCAGTCATACGGAAAATCAATATACTGGTAATGCTATGAAAAGGGGAAACTCAATCTTGCAGTAATTTGGCAAAATTTGTAAAACCGGATTTGGTACTCTGTCCTTTCAAATGCACTCCCCCACAGACCCATTGCTTTGGTACTTTCAGTCATTGCCATTCTTGCCTCAGTCTTTCCAGGCTGAATATCAGCAACAGGGTCTAAACATCCACCTGAACTCATCTGGGATGGCTTCTCAGGGACACGGCACCATCATTTCCAGATGGCCCAGAGTGCTGAAGGACAAACACACCGTCGCTACAATTAGTGAAGCTGGCAATACCCGTGCCGCTCCTGGCAACGGACCTGGCTGCGGGTGCACAGTTACAACAGCTGCGGGCTGTTTTCCACTCTGTAAGCCAAGTCCTTTTTTTTCCATCAGAGGTCTCTGCCAGCAGGGTTTACCCCTCAAACTACAGAGCTTGGAAATGATACAGCTCTTCACTAAAATAATTTCAGATCTCTGCAAGCTGCAGGTACAACAATATTAAAAGGAGACTTCCTTTGTAACAACTAATAGCTTTACCTAGGAAAGACAACTGGCAACAAGTGCTTTCTGCATCTTTGGGAACAAAATCTAAAATTACATAATCCTTGCATGTGTGAGGAGCGTAATCTAACCTTATCCACGGTCTTGAGATCGCAGCCTGCCTTCAGCAGCACTTCCACCAGCTCCACATTGCCAAGATCAGCTGCCAGATGCAGAGGGGTTTCCTGCCTCTGGAATTAATGACACCAAATAAATACAATAAGCCAAACTCCCTCTTAGAAGTGGAGTGCTCACAATCTGGATCTAAAGAAGATTCACAACAAGAGACAGCCTTGGCAAGAAAACACTGAACAGAACGAAATCGTTTAACTTTTGAGTGCCAGTTTGGTTTCAGGCAAACAAGAGAGCATCTGGGATCTCTGCAGGAAAACTAGGCAGGAGTTCCAGTTGGCTCAGGGAAAAGTTGCTGTCATGCTCCTCTAATGTACTGTAACCTAACGAGCTCTCTCTCTTCCCTCTTAAAACAAAGTGTTTTGGACAGAGTGTTTCATGCAACTGCCACCCCCCACCCATACTATCCTCTCGAGTAACCTTTTCCCTGCTGAAATTCATGCAAAGACAACTGGACATCCATAATTTTCAACAGGACATTGCGCCACAGTCCACCACAGGATTTGTTAGCCAGCCCTGCCACAAAATGATGACATGCAGCAGAAGTCTACCTGCTCCATAATGGGTTCAATGAACCTTAAGCCACACACGCACACACAAAAAAAGCGGGTAAGTGAAAAAAAAAAACCATTAAACAAAATCAAACCACTAACAAGAAGTACAGCTAAAGGGGCATTCAGTGTCAAGACTGATCTTAGGGTGCTAAAATGAGCGTTGTATAGTATCTACACAGCTGCACATACCCAAATAAAACCTATTTATTTATCCTTCTACAAAATATTAGAATAAGAATTTCCAGAAATCTATGGGTATAATGCAAATAAGATACATTGTCATTTGTCGAAGCCCTGCATATCTGGACCTGTCTGTTAGCATGTTTCATGTGACACAGCACCCTTGTAAGTTGAAGGTTTTGTGCCTGTGCTTCTCTGATGTTGCAAGTCTATGTTCTGTAGGTTTGGTTAGAGAACTTTTTTGGCCTTTAGATCTTAACTTAAAGGTTACAGAGTCAAACACCAAGACCTTACACACCAAGAAACACCAGCCTCAGGTTCTGCATTAGAGAATCTCATCAGCCTTTTTGGGAATACACACTATGATCACATGACCTCATAAATTTCCCCCAACAATACATCTTACTTTCTTTTCTGCAGTAATTTAGAAATATGTACATAGCTATTGTATTCAGATATGCCAGAGACAAAACACAAAACATTTCTAAAAGACGTGTTCAAGTTTACAAAATTCTCTGTTTTATATGACAGAAGAGCTTATCATCATACTTGACTCCAGACACAAATGACAGCCTCTGTCTCCTGCAAAAATTTGTATAAATTAGTCTTTAGCAATGATCAGTGGGAAGGGGTGAACTACAGATTTCTCAAAGAGTAGTCTTATTGTGGGGTCCCCACCTGTCAGGCGGGAAACCAGGGTGCATTTCCCCAACAGGAAGCCACAGTGCCCAATGTGGGACTTGACAGACATGATGGGCCAGTCTTTCCACAGCTGAGATGTAGGGTCAACGGGGAGAGGGAAGAGAGCTTCTCTTTGAAGTGCCACATCTGGCAGGCCAGTCTATACACAGTTGGTGCCTCAATGTCTGCCTAGTAGTCCACCATGGCCAGGGTGCCAGTGTACAACATTCATGAGCTCTGTACAAACTTCTGCCACATGGACCATAAGCACTGGATGTCATCCACATCTTTGGAGGCCTGGTTGTTGGCCAGGTTGTAGACCACCACCACCACCATTAACTCCCTCAGACATTGGACACCTTATTCTGTGGTAGTCTACTTGCCTTGCTGGTTTACAATATCTTCTTTGAGAAGATATCTTTCCTTCACACTTGATAAAAGCCACCTCCACAGGCTTGCAGGCGGCTGCCTCTCTTCCAATCCCTTTGTTATTCCCATATTCCCTAGAGATGGATCCTAGCTGCTGGGTGTCCCTACCGTCACAGCACTGGAGCAACCAGGCAGCAACTTGCTCACCTTGCTGGTGGATGAATACTTGCTGCCTATCTCGTAGGTCGTTTGGGGATGGGGACCAGGTAGTTTCCACCTTTTTCATCATTCCTGTTTTTACCTTCTCCTGCCCTGCTGCTTCTTCTGACTCTTCCTCCTTCTACCCCTCAGCAGGAGCTTCTACTTCTCTTACTAACCAAGTAGACATCTGCTTTCACTATTTCTTGTTGAGTACAGGAGCAACTATTATATTTGAGGGCTGGGTCTCTGGTCAAGCCGCTGTGCGTGCCCTCAGATTGAGTGACGTTTTTGGTGTCCATATGGGTGATTCAGAGTAGGAGCCCTTCTCAGGGTCCCTTTGTGTGCTCCTTGATCAGGAGACCCTCTTTCTCTTTTGAGGGCACTGGATGGCAGCTCAAGCACGTCGCTGTGTTTCATTGGGGCAGGCAAGTCTCCCCTCCTTCAAATAGCGTACCAATATCTGGGACTACAAGCCTGTTCAGGCATGAAATCCCAAGCTATTGAGGCACAAACAGCCCCAGGCACCTTCCCAACTCCTCCTTCACACGAGGATCAACTGCCTCCCAGCACATTCCTGTGTGGCATTCCCAATTAGTTGTTTAACCTTACGAATGATGATCGAAATCAGGCTCACAACACACACTGGTATGAATAGTCTGATTACACAAGGATATTCAAAGAACGGAGTAGCCACTACAACCAGGTGGGAGAGACCTATCCTAGAGAAGGGGTAGGTGCTATTCTGCCTCTCTCCACAAAGCGTCTCTCCAAGGAGAAAACGGGGAAGGTGTAATTGCTGATTTTCTCCATGAGATGGTTCTCTGAGCACGTGAGTAGCAGCAGCGAAGGGCCCAAAAATACCAGACCAGGCTCAAGGCCAGTGCTCTCCCAGGCAACGCAAAACAAAAATACACAACACAGCAAAAGCTGAAAATGGTTATTGACAATTATAAGAGGTTTTGTACAGCAAAAAAGGAATCAAGGAAGCCAGTAACAAAGTAAATATGTCGGCATACATCATGCAGCCTTCCACAGAGAAGGGTATCCCATACACGAGGGACGGGATTAGTGGCGGTGGAAGTGGTCTACAGAGAAATATCTGACAACCAACCAAGGCCTTCAAAGACCACTGGCACCACGCAGAGGCCAAACAGTCCTGGTAAAGGTGTGGAAAACTGGCACTGGCATCCCTGGGTGGGCTTGAACCACCAACCTTTCAGTTAACAGCTGAACATGCTAACCAATTGCACCACAGAGACCTGTAACTTCATCACTCAGTGTGATCCTGTGTGGTGTGGAGCATCACTGTGGTCAGCTCTGGTCATCTGCTTGGTTGTGTCCCCTGCCAGCTCCCTGCACAATCCCAGTCTGTTTGCTGGGGAAGAAGAGCATGAAACAGAGAAGGCCTTGATGCTGAGCAAGCACTGTTCAGCAACAGATGAAACACTAGTGCCTTACTGGCATTGTTTTGGCCACAAATCTAAAACACAGCACCTCATGGGTTGCTATGAAAAAAATTAACTCCATCCCAGCTAAGTGACCCTCTGCACTGGGTTTCCCCCTGAGATCAATACTATTCAGACATTTCTGTCATTTATTGCACATTAATTGTAACACTCAAACAATAAATTAATCGGGACATTTTCTGAATATACGGCATTTTGCTATCCTTATCTTGCACAAACAATACTAGCACAGCATGTACCAGTGACTAACACACACGCACACAGGCAAAAAGATAAGGAGGGAACTGCCTCTTCCTTCCTATTTTTTTGTACCCTGAGCTCATAAGGAAAATACTTATTTCAAGCAAAATCCATGTAATCTCCTCTTTACCAGTGAAGTTATGTTAATTCCCAGTTTTTCTTACATGATTTAAGGAGTTTATACTATGATTGGCATCCAAGAGGCTTTTTACTACTCGTAGATGATTATTGATGACTGCTAAATGGAGAGGGGAATTCTTCTGCTGTGGAGGAAAAACAACAAATTATTATATTTGGCTATGTTATTAGAAGTTAATTTAAACAAGAAAGAGGTTCTTGTTAAAATCCATCCCTTGCAAAGGCGGTATGTTCTAGCAGCAGCTCAAGACTGCAGAAAACACACCCTGAAGTACAGAGTGATGCCAGAGATGGTAGCCTGCTCCTGCAACACCTACAGCAGCAGATAAACAAATACAGCTGAGAAACCTGGAAATGTTGAGTGCACCAGTATCAGTGTGTTGCCACTTAGGAATGCAGCAAGGCACACTCCTTAGATATTCGTACCTGGATGTGCTGCTACCCTTGGCTGACAATAGACAGCTTAAGGTAATATTTCTGTTCCCTCAGAAAATTGTGTTTGCCTTTAGTTGAATAGACTGGAGACAGATTAATCCTGTACTGGGTAAACAGATGTCAAAATCTACTTTCCAGGAATAAACTCTTGTCACATATTGCTGCTGGAAATATTCTTTATACTAAACTGACTTGCTGTCATATTTATAAAAAGCAAATTACAGTTAGAAAGAAATTAAAGGGTTTTGTTTGAGTGATTACTTATTAAAATTACTGTGGCATAGATCCAACACCAGTCACAATCCAACCATTAGATTGGCAAGATCACTTTGTGTGTCAAACCTGTGACTCATCAGTTTCTTGTTAACCACAGCTAAAGAATAATTCCATACCAGTGCTATTCATGGGTGGAAGACATCAGTTTATTAGTGTCTTAATAAAGCCATTTCTTCAGAACTACAGAAAAATAAAGCAAGCTCTTATGCAATGCTGCACTGGAAATGTTTCCAAAATGTAAGTTACAATTTTATGAGTTCCTTCTGCTACAGAAAGCAAATGAGAACAAACAGCACAATAACTGCCTAATCTGTAAAATAAATCATTTCAAGCACATGATGAATTTTAAATATTACAGAATAGGCCAGTGATCACGGCAGATAAGTCATGAAGCCCAGATTCTATTTTCACCCTGTACTCTACAAGCGGAAAACAATTTCCTATTCACAGAAAATCTCAGATGTAACAAAAACTGCAGTATCTAAATTGAGACAAGATTTGAATATTAGGAATACTTCTTTCTTTTTAAACCCCAAAGAATGGTGGCATGCAGATTTTGAAGGCATATGCTTTGAGTGCAGAGGGTGAAAGCACTGAATTGTTTATTTACCTTTATTCAAAATCAGTTACAACTGTTAACTCTTTGCCTATGGCACACAGGGAGGCCTGCAATACTGCTGCTTAGTTCAAGCCGGGTACTTTGCTCAGTTTCCTCTAATGCCTGGTCCTTGGCTTAGCCTGGACACCTCTACACCATACTGCACCGGTCTGCCCAGGCACGCACTGTGTTTGTGCAACAGGACCTTGTCTTTTTTCGTCCACACATATTGCTAACTAACATCCACAACCCACATAATAAAGTGCACAGTACAAAAATTAAGGAACTAGTCAATCTCATTCAGCTGTCTGAATTCCCAAGGAAGGACATAAAAGACAGGACAGGCTGAAAAACAGCAGAACAGTTATACTGATATACACTCACCTTGGGTTTAGGAACCAGGTCAACATTCTTGTCAATAAGAAAAGTAACCAAGGATAGATGTCCATTCTGAATTGCAATCTGCAAAGCACTGCTATTGTTCTGAAAGAAATGGTATAGACAGTAAAAAAATTATGCTTTTATTGCTGGAAAAACAGTACTAAAGAGAGCTATCAATATAGGATAAGCTTTCATTTAAATTTGTGTTATTATTACCTCCCCCAAAAAACCTCCCTTCGGTAAAACAATATGAAATTAAGTGCACCAGCGGTTAGCATGATGGGTTTTTGTAAATACTGAAGGAACTTTCACTTTTGTCTGTATTACAACAGACACGCTAAAAGATTCAGTATTCAAAAGTCCTTTTCAATCTCTTTTGAGAGAGAAAGATCGGCATTGTCAGCTGTCCTGCGCCATGGACAACAACAATGCCAACACATCTCCCACTCTGTTACTTCAGTTTGACCTTTAGTAAGCAAGTACAGTCACATTAACAAACTTTTAAAAATAAATCTATAGAAAATTTTCATTTAATAACTCCAATAAAACAAACAAGTTCTCAGTCTGCTGGAATCATAAACTTTTTGTAGCAGGCAAGCCAAGGCCATTCAACAGATGTGAGCTGGACTGAAGCCCAGGAACAGATGTGGAGAACTGGTTTGTCACCAGTGCAGTCACATACACTGCCAAAAAGGAGGATTTTCAGTTACTCTAACTGGTTACAATTTCATAGTCATACGTTTTGCTATCAGACATACAGTAAATAAATAAGCTCCACCACACTACTCTGTCAAATAAATCTATGCTATATTTCTTCCACATCAGTTTTAGTCTCTTAGCACTCTCTACATTACCAGTTCTATTTTATTAATTATTTTTTTTAACCATTTCATAAAAATAAGCAGAGCAAATATACTGTTACTACACACAGAAAAGAGAAGATAAGGTCCTTCCCACAGCCCAGAATGTCCTAGTACCTGTGTGCTGGTTGGATACTGTGTACATACTTGAGTTAAAACATTGATGTCACTCCCAGCTTCCAGTAAGAGTTCAGCACATTTTTCATGACCTCCTTCAACAGACAAGTAAAATGGAGTTTCTCCATTCTAGACCAACAGAGAGAAAATGTCTGTTCCAAATTAAGCCACATGACTATAAGGCTGTGACACAGAACAGGTTAGCTCGATCAGACTCTTCCAGCTCAACAGAAAAGGCGAGATAGTCACCAAAGAACACAACCTGAATGCTCCCACATTAATGCTGATATGAAATGGCAACTCACCAGCATTTAAATGACAGATGACAGTTATGTGGACAGATGTATGGTAAGGTTTATGATAAAGAAAACTATTTAATAAATTTTAATCATGCTCTTTTCAAAGAAAATTGCCAGCAACAGGCACAGAAGCAAAGCTGGTGGGTAGCAACTGCTGCCACTCAGCACCAGGCAACACCCCTAGCAAGCTAGCACATACCATAAGTGCTAATTTCCACCAGTCCAATGCCACGGATTTCTGAAGAATTCCCAACTCTAGTGCTAGTTATAAGGAGCACTTTCAGCAGAAATAATCCTGTGGCATATTTATTTCAAATCTTCTCATCCCAAAAAAGTCTCCATGTCTCCACAGCAAGTCTCTAAAATTAGTTACATCAGCTGCACAATGACTTAATCCCTGCTTCTCAACTCCTAAAATACACAAACATTTACTGAAAGTTACTCTAGTGTTTCAGCATTTGCAGAAGTATCAACAAATCCTGATTTTTCTTCGCTTAAACCCCTGCCACCATCATTCTGCTACACTTAATATACTTTAGCGCTTGCTCATGCTGGGAAAAGAGAGACCTGCTTGTCCACAGACTAAAACACCTCCAGCTGAACAGGAAGGCCTCAGCATTAGCCTTGGCAAGGGTGGGGCACAAGTTGTACAAGTTTCCTGTGCAAGAAGCAACAGTGTTAGACAAGACTTGGAAACACAAGGGGCTCATGTGCCTCAAAGCTTGTGTAGCTGGAAATAACAGACAAGTCGGATAAGAGAGAACTCCTCAATCCATAAATCTGTTGCTGATTAAGGAAGAGGAAGGGCTTGGGCAGGACTCGGTGTCCCTTAGCCAGCAGGACCAACAGTCAACCACATGGCAGGTTCCCACAGCGGACATGGTAGCCCACAACAAAGTGAATTAACTTGCCCAGTTTCTTCCAGGTGCCCCACAGAAGAAGCAGAGGACCCAAGGACCCTTTGCAAGGCAGGGATGCTGAATTGAGTAGTTAATGTGCATTTTCCTCCTCCATCTGTACTTTAATCCTTAAAATTAAGCTCATGAGTGCATCAACTCAGGGATATGACCTTCACAGATAATATGCAACTTACGAATATGCTGGCTGAGCTCACCAATACTAACCCAGAAAAGAAAAAGCGGGTAGGCAGTGTCTGCAGCCAGTTCTGTGCAGTCAATTGAGATCAGATGAACAAGGTACAAATCTGAGACCTCTTTGCTGAGGTGCCTGCAATGCTATGTGCTGGGGACGCATGTTGAACTGGCTCAGAGAATAGCCTGAAAAGCACCAGAGATGGTAAAAGGAATGGGATCGTGTGGCCAGAAATGTTGGAGGACAGGAAGCAAGGTGGAGGTTAGGCCCTCCAGTTTCTTTCTACGAGTAGTTATGTAAGGACACATGAGACAGAGGGGAGGCCATTGTGTGAGGAATAGAGGACAGAGGAAGAGACATTGAAGAAGTTAATGCAGCTGAATTTATTGGAGGAAGGACTACAACACAGGATGGAAAGGTACTACAAAAGCAGCAGAACTAATGAAGTCTACTCAGTGCAACATTTATTCTTTTAAAATCCTATTTTTAAGTTGATGTTTCAAATCTCTAACTTTATCTCTTTCGGTAATTTCTGTGTCCTTACCTGATTGCGGTCATTTATTTCCTCCCACTGTTCAAGCAGAATTTCTACAACATCTCTGTGACCATTTTTGGCTGCTAAATGTAATGCTGTGTTTCCCTCCTTGAAATTAAAATGTCAAATAAGGCATTTTAAAACTCAGAATAAAGTCAAAACATCAAGTAAAACCAATACAAAGCCTTTGGTCTTTTACATACATCTCTCTTTTACACACAAGGAGAAGGAAGCAGATCCACCCAGCATGTTCCAAGATTCAGAATAATCCAAAAGGGGCCTTTTCACATATACACAGACGTGACCTTGCTGGTCTAGTTGGTTGTTTCATATTCAGAAAACTGCAGTGTGTGACCAGTGAAAAGACCTAAAATTCTAACACCTAACCAATGAATCCGAAGAAAACCTTGGTTCCTACAAGGAAGGGGACTACACCAAGCCCCCAAGGCCACTGATGTAAAGATTAATGGCCAAAAGCTAGGTAAGTATACAGAAACTTATAGTGGCTTTGATGCCAACATTGCAATCTTCAGTCTCTTTCACCATCAGCACAATTTCTTATCAGCTAATTAATAAAAAATCTCACACACCAGCAAGCAAATAAAAACAAAGAGCAAGTTCAGGAAGAGCAGCAGGTTTTGAGCTAAAAGACAATGCTGGTACAAGAAAAAGTATAAAAATAACTAGAAAAACTCCCTCAGAGAAACGAGAGTCCAGAATACCTTTCTATTCACAGCACTGGGCAGGGGCAGAATTCAAATCCTTTTTAGAAATGATGGATATAGTGTGATTGCTTTTAGTGACCCAGGAGATGAGATTCTGTCCTGGCTTCTTACCTACTTACTCTGTAGGATCACAGCATTTGTCTCCCATTGTTGCTGCTTACACCTTCGCCCTGCTAGATGCCTAGGACAATAGTCTTTTAACCTCCACTGATAAACTGCTTAGCACAGCAGAGCTCTAGGTTGCACTGCAGCTTTTAAATTATTACCACAATACCAAAAAAACCCAGCATCACTTCCTGGGTGCTTACTTAGATGGTTCTACTAATTTTTAATGTATTTATCCTTGCAATGCCTCAGATGCAAACAAATACCAACTTGCTCATTCCACAAATAGTCAAGTAAGGACTATCCATTAAGGACAGACTTCAAAAATTATTTTGATACCTTAAAATGCAGTGTAAAAAGCAAACTCAATCAGATTGAAGTGTTAAGGCACTTCTGAAAGATCCCCGTTGGTGTTTATTTGCATCCTGAACACCTTGGAAAAATTAGTCATGTGGGACTTAGCAGTGACACACAGACACAGCCGAGCAGAATGAAAAACTGGGACATACGATCTCCCAGTACAAAGGCTGACGCCTTAGTCACCAGACTTTCCCACTTCTCCCAACAGACAGCATATGCTATTCTTGCTTTACATGAATTATTAATATGTATGGAAAAGTCTTCTGGCAGTAAGACCAGAAGTCCCACTGTCTTCCCTTAACTACTGAAAAATCACCATCCTTGTGTATTTGTTCCTCCAATATAGATCACTACCAGCACTGTGACATCTCTACAGCTTATTCACATTACTTGGTTGTGTAGTAACTACACTGAAACAAAGTAATCTTTCATAAGCACATTTTTAGTTGTATTTGTGTGGAAAATAAACCTTACCTTATCTTTTTCAGACGTAAACAGCTTCAGAGTAATCAAATTGTTTATCATGTCAACATGGCCTTTTTCAGATGCCAGAAGAAATGGCTTTTTACCTTTCTAGAAAACAATTATGGAAAGAAACAGTGTTATTGAAAGTAAAAATATTTTCCTTCCAGTTATTAGATGTATGGTATATATATGTATATACGTATTCTGCATAAAAAATCATATATCATGCGACCAAGTAGATTAACAAAAAATTAGATATACACAAGAAGAGTAAGAATTAAAAAACTAGATTACACACCTTGCCTATCCTGACTAAAATATCTGAAAACTTCAGAAATGGTAACAAGGTAGAAAATATGCTCAAAATATTTCTTAATTCTTCTCAGTATGAAAAAATTTATCAAAAGAACTGTGTCATTAAAGTCTGAGGATGCTCAGAAACAGGCAGTAAAGAATTTGCAAGATTTATCTCCACAGTGTAACATGTTTGATCTGAATTCTACAAGCACAGACCAGAACAACCATATCTCAGAAGTTTCATCCAGGATGCCTGAATTCAGTGCTGTACATTGTGTGGGTTTTTTGGTGGCGGTTAAACTAACAAAAACTTTTCCAACTGTTTACAACTCAACTGCAGAATGTTATCTTGACAAAACCATACCACTGGTCAGACAGTGAGACTGTCTAATAACCAGTTAGTTAGATGGCCTCACTACCTGATAGTGGCCTACGTTAAATGTCTAAGAAAAAAATGTAAACGACTAATAGATAATTATGAAATAACCCCAACATAAAGAAGATTCTTATTCACCTTTCCTTTTTCAAGGCCTAAAACACAAAGGTTTGTTTTGTTAAATTAACTCTGTTTTGTCAGCCTTGTCATATGTAGAAAGAATGCAGAATTTTGCATTGGGTCAATACAATTCAAGATTCAAAAAAAAAAAAGATACGGGAGCTTTGTTCTTTCAGTGACAGATCCTACCAGAATAAATTTTCCTCATGTAAAGATAAAACATCCTACTTAGCTAAGTAAGCCTTCAAAGCAAGATCCCAACATTGTGGGAAGGAAAAATAAAATCAAAGCAAACCTGATGAGGACAAGGCCCTGGCACTGTTGAACAGTTGATGCACCTCTGTAGGATGGTTGTACATAGTCTTACATTCTATGTTGGCAAAATATGCCTGTGCTGGCCATAACTGGCAGGTTTTGGTAAGGGCAGAGGGCTGCCGGGGTGAAATGTGTGGGAAGAGGTCAGAGACTGCCTTATGCTGGTCACAGACATTTCCAGCTGGCTCCACAATGGACAAAACTGACCCACCATGTGTCAGCACTCAACCCATCAAAGGAGCACATGATACCTCTGTGAAAACATACTTAAGAAAGCATGGTCACTGCTACGGGGAGGATGTACAAGGGGAGATACAGGAGGAGACACGAGAGGACGCAAGGGAGGAGACACAGGAGAAGGTACACCTGCAGGGTGACTGCAGCCCATGGAAGAATCCTTGCTGGAGCAGAGGAAAAGAGTATGAAACAAAGAGTGGGAAAAAAAGGAAACCACTGTGGACTCACCTCAACTTCCTCTGCCTCCCATAGCCTCACCAATGGGACTGAGCATCACGTCCAGCAAAAGCAAGGGAATCAGGGGAGGAGAGGTGTCTGGAGTTCAGCTGAGACAGGAAAACAGGGAGGAAAGGTGTTTTCCCTAAATGCTTGTCTGGCTGTCTCCCTTGTTTCTCAATACCCAATATAAATATATAACTGGCACTAAATTAAAATTCATTTAAATTCCGCAAGTCAGGATTGATTTCCCCACAACAGATGCCTCATGACATCAAAGAAATAAACAGAAAGAAACATACTGTACCCCATCAGGCTTGTTCAAGTCATTCAGATGAAGATCTTGGAGAAAATAATCAATTATTTTAACACTGTTGTTCTGAGCTGCAAAGTGCAGTACGTTCATTCCTTCCTGAAAAACCATAAGAAACTCTGTAAGAACAAGTCCGATGTTTTTCCAACATAAAGGTGTTTAGAGTTGGTAAAAATTTGTCATCAACAAACCTCATTCTTAGCCTTTTGATCAGCGCCTGCTTTAACTAATTTTCGCATTATATCCAGATTTCCAGTCCAAGCTGCAAGATGAATCACTGTCAGGCCATGCTTCAAATAAAACGATAAAAGTCAGAAATTACCACCAAACTACCCTGTGCCAAATTTCTTAAAATCTTTTTGATTGATTCAGTGTATGAGAGGATTCTGCTCTGTGGGCTCTTAGAAAATCACCTGGCTGTGTGAGTGGGATTCATTTCACTTAAATCAAGCTAATGTTCAGGCTGCCCTTGACGGAAGCTTTGGCATCTCCACAGAAGGATTTCAAGATGGGGGAATTAAATACTACCTGGAATTGATTCCCTCTCTCCAGAAACCTGGGTGTTGGTGGATGACATTTTAGGTGATAATACGTAATGACTGTATTTCCATGAGTCACCATAATTTTCCATTTAGCCCTCTTTTAAAGGTTCTCTTCTCTCAAATTCTCTGAAAAGTTCTTCTCTTATAGGAAAAAAAAATCCTGTGGTTAACTTCTTATAGAGCCAAAAGGAACAGAGATAAGAAACTTCCATCTTGGCCACAGACCTCTCTAGCTTTTCCACATCTCTTCCTCACTTTGTGTGTACTGCATCCAGGTGCAGCATCATAAATCATGGCTCATTGTGCTAAGTCCTATGTAAACACAAGGCGTTCGTACTCCACAATAAAATCACCTGGTCTAAGACATGGAGTCAGAGGAACCTGAAGGAAGCAAGAGGAATCAATCAAGGCAATTCCTTATCAGTTATAACCCTTCTCCAGTTTTTTCTCTGTAAAGGACGAATAAATATCTTGACTCCCATCTCTAATGGAGAACAGGAACAGGATGCTTGCTGTGACAAGAACTTCAGACTACTCACAATCTATTCACTGAGTAACAAAACAGTTCAGGCTGGGAGTGGTCCCTGGAGATTACACTTCTACGGCCTCCTGCTCAAAGCCTGTCCCAGTGGATCATGTTGCTCAGGACCTGCTCCTGTCAAGTTTTGAATACCCTAAAGATTGAGACACCACAAATTCTCTGGAAAATCTGTTCCAGTGTTTGACCACTCTGACCATGCATTTTTTTCCTCCTTGTACCTAATTGGGACTTCCCGTATCGCAATTTGTGTGCATTGCTTCTTGTCCTATCACTGTGCACCTGTCTCTGTCTTCTCTATATTCTCCCCTTACGTACCTATAGACAGCCATAAGGTCTCCCCTTACCATTCTCTTTCGACGGCTGAGCAGACCCAGCTCTCTCAACACCTCCTCATACACCATATGCTCCAGCCCTAATCATCCTAGGGGCTCTGCACTGGATTCACTCCTGCTTATCAATATCTTTCCTGTATTGGGGAGTCCCAAACCAGGCACAGCAAGCAGAAATTGCAGTGGAAAACAGTGGAGGGCAATATGGAACATGCATATGGTGCACATACTACAGAAATAAAGCTGGGTTTGGGCAAAATTTGTAAAAATTTCAGCTGCCCTGAAAAACAATCCCAGGTATGACCAAGGAGAAAAAGTATCTAGACCTGATAGCCTCATACTATAAGAAGACTAGCCTGGTGGATGAGGGGAGAGAAGTGAATGTTTATCCCAACTTTCGTAAGAGTTTTGACACTGTCCCCCATGTCATCCTTGTAGGCAAACCGATGAAGAACAGGTGTAGACAACCAGATATACCAAGGTATACTGAAAGCCCACTGAACTGCCAGGCCCAAAGAGTTCTGACCAGCAGCACAAAGTCCAGCTGGAGACCAGTCACTACTAATGCATGCTAGTCATCGATCCTGGGCCCAGTACTGTTCAACACCTTCATTAATGACCTGAATGATGGGGCAGAGTGCACCCGCAGCAAATTTAAGGATGTTATTAAACTGGGAGGAGTGGCTAATCGACCAGATTGGTGTGCTGCCATCCAGAGGGACCTCGATAGGCTGGAGAAATGGGCTGAGAAGAACCTCATGAAATTCAACGAGGGGACATGCAAAGTCCTGTACCTGGGAGGAGCAACCCCAGGCACTAGTACTGACTAGGGGCCAACTGCCTGGAAAGCAGCTTGGCAGAGAAGGACCCCAGGCTCCTGATGGACAATAAGTTGAACATCAGCCAGCAATGTGCCCTGGCAGCACACACAGCAAATGGTATCCTGGGTTGCATTAGGAAGAGCAATGCCACCTGGTCAAGGAAGGTGATCATAGCATCATAGAATGGTTTGGGTTGGAAGGGACCTTAAAGATCATCTAGTTCCAACCCCCCTGCCATGGGCAGGAACACCTTCCACTACACCAGTTGTTCAAAGCCCCATCCAGCCTGGCCTTGAACACTGCCAGGGAGGGGGCAGCCACAGCTTCTCTGGGCAACCTATGCCAGTGCCTCACCACCCTCATCATAAAGAATTTCTTCCTAATATCTAATCTAAATCTCCCCTCTTTCAGTTTGAAACTGTTACACCTTGTCCTATCACTACACTCCCTGATAAAAGAGTCCCTCCCCATCTTTCCTCTAGGCCCCCTTGAAGTATTGGAAGGCCACTATAAGGTCTCCCCAGAGCCTTCTCTTCTCCAGGCTGAACAACCCCAACTCTCTCAGCCTGTCCTCACAGGGGACGGGATCCAGGCCCCTGATCATCTTCATGGCCCTCCTCTGGACCCACTCGAGCAGGTCCACATCTTTCTTGTGCTGGGGGCCCCACAGCTGAACACAGCACTGCAGGTGGGGTCTTACCAGAGCAGAGCAGAGGGGGAGACTCACCTCCCTTGACCTTCTGGTCACGCTCCTCTTGATGCAGCCAAGGATGCAATTGGCTTTCTGGGCTGCAAGCGCACACTGCTGGCTCATAATCAATTTTTCATCTACCAACAAGCTCAAGTCTTTTTCTGCAGCGCTGCTTCCCCTCTACTCACTGGTGAGACACACCTGGAGTACTGTGTCCAGTTCTGGGCTTCCCAATACAAGAGAGACACGTACATACTGCACAGAGTCCAGCAAAGGGCCACAAATATGATTAAGGGACATCTGACATATGAGGAGAGGTTAAAAGACCTGCTTCTGTTTAGCCACAGGAGGCTGAAGTGGATCATATCATTGTGTAATGATGGAAATGAGTAAAAAAGATGCAGCCAGACTCATCTCAGTGGTGTCCAGTGACAGTGAAAGAGGTAATGGGCACAAACTGAAGTACAGGAAGATTCACTTAAACATGAGAAAATCATTTTTTACTCTAAGGATGATCAAACACTGGAATCAATTGCTCAGAGACGTTATGGAGTCTCCATCCTTGGAAATAATAAAAACCCAAGTGGACAAAGCTCTGATCAACCTGCTTTTCATGACAGTGCTCTGAGCAGGAGGCTGGACTAGGTCATCTCCAGAGGTTCCTACCTCAGCCTCCCTGTGTGATTCTGTGCGTGGGCTGTCTGATAGGGAGGAGTCTGGGAGGAGAAAAGGAGGCACAAGGGAGACAAGCAGGTGGATTCAGGATTTAAAAAAAGGCAAATAAGCTATAAAATCAGCTGGAGAACAAAAAAGGGAAGGATCTGCTGATGGTGGTGAAGATGACCTGCAGACCCAAGCTCCTCCCAGTATAAGAAGGGACTGCCTTGGACACTCCTGCTGGACTCACCATCAGGTCCATGTCTGAAAGAGCTGGGATGGTTGGGTGGATAAGAAGGGATAAACTTGTACCTTGATATTCAGTGCAGAAGGGCAAACAACAGAACTGTGGCTTAGTAGTATATCATTTCTTTGCAGTAATGTAACCATGTATCAATGCTAATACTGATAGTAAGCAATAGAATTGTAACTTAATCACTGCATCTTGGAGTGATATAAGTGTGAATTAATACTACTACTAATAATAATGATGTGTCTATTAGCCAATTAATGTATTATTGGTTTCTTAGAGATGTGCTGCTTAATCGACGAATGTGTCAACAACCTCCATGAGTTACGCCAAGTCTTCAATCTAAAGCTGGGAGTACCCCCTATCTGCTGCTAACGCCACTATTGTGTGTTTTTAATCAGCTTCTTATATTGAGAAATGTTAAAAATGCTTAAGACCTTAAGCTTATTAATACAAAAAGTATGTCAAAAATTGAAATGGAATAAGAAATGAAGTCATAGTATCTTCATTCTGTTTCTTATCAATTGCAAGATCAAACTGATTGCCAGAGAGTACATGAATCATTGTCAAATACAATATGTAATGTCATAATATTTAAGCTCTATGAGCTAATTATGATGGAATGTTTCCAATGGTCTTTCAGCAAAGATGATTAACAACATCTAAGAATTAAAGACAGCTAATAATTAAAAGGTAATTCTTAATGAGATTCTGAGTGTTTAATAGAATCCCAGCACAGGGGGAGGGTCTATATTTCCAACCTGGCTTCAAAGTACCCTATCACTGTAATTAAAGTACCCATTAAATGTTTGAGTCACCTTATTGCCACAACAAATCTGGAAGATATCCACTGAAAAATAATTTGCCAGAAAGAATAATTTACAATAGTCACACAATAAAATTACATTAACACTGCACTCAGTGTGAATCTGTTCTATACTATGTGAATCACAACATGTAAAACAGCTTACCTGATCCGCCATATCAAGTCTAGCTTTGTGATGGAGAAGAAAATCCACCACCGATATATGACTTCTTGCAACAGCAAAATGGAATGCAGTGCGCTTCAGCTGAAATAAGCAAAGCTTTGGCTGTCAGGTCTGTAATACAGTTCTCTTCCTTGTGCAGGTGATCAGGATTTCTGAATTCTCTGATTATTAATAAATATATCTGTTAATATAGATATGTTTGCATATTTCTCCTTCAACAGTCAAGCTTGGTCTTTATCTGCACTTTTGTTCCCTTGGGTAAAATTTAGGTATTGATCTTAAAGATTTCTTGTAGAATCAGAATGATTTAGCTACTCTATGTAGCATCATCCCTTCACTGAAATTCACTGAAATGTCAAAGGGGGATTAAGCAATCATATACTGCTTAGAGGAGATGCATGAAGTACAAGAAGCATCCATGTTTCCTATTTTATGATATGGTTTGATTTGAAAAGCTGATGACTAGATTTATGCAATTAGATTTGGTTTTGACCCTATCTCTGCAATGCATGATGAGATTCCTCCCTCACTCAGTATTAGTCACCTTCCCAGACTGAGTCATTATCTGTGTAAATGAAAGCTTCCACCTTACAAACAGTGAGTAATTTTTACACAGGTGAACAGGCTCAATGCTTATCAAGAACACCTGATTAATTTTTCATTAAAGTAATTAATGGTGTGAATTTAAAAGTGATCGGTTAAACTGAATTAAACTTCAGTGGAGGGAGTTTTGCTTCCAGTTACAGTGAATATAGTTGAGTTTAATAGAATTCACTGAGAGTTTCCATACAAGGATATATAAATGATTCAACCAATTAACTTTAAAAGTCAGTTTGGATCTGTTCTCTTATGCTTCTATGCACATCAGCTGACTTACTCATGTATAAATTTACAGCTATATGTGTTAAAAGCATAAAATTGTGGGATTTATGTAGTTCATTTATGCCAGAAAAAGCCTCTTGCGCAGAAAGAGTTCTATCAACAAAACTCACCTTTTGGCAGTCTTGCTTATTTGGTTTGGGAGTACAGGGCCAGGAATGATCAACATGAACAAACGAACAGTTTTGCCACTACAAGCTATGATCCCACTAGGAGATCAATCAATGCACAACACCCACGTAGCTATGCCAGTAAATGTCTTACATTCTAGGTCTGGTTTATGGATGACAGAGTAGAGATTCAAACTACTGGACTGGAAAAGTATTTAGTTTAATGTCCTGAATTCTGGAAAGCAATAAGGAAGCAAGAACGACTTTTAAGTGGCTTTCTAGTGTACTACGTTATTTATGGGAACACTCTCATTATCCAAGAGAAGTCTACTCAAAAGAAATTTTTGTGTCCCTCTCTTTTTCACAAACAAACCAAGGCACCTGTACTGTCTCAGTTCCCCAGCGGGGAAAAATGCATGTGGGCATGGGAAGCAAATTTTTTCAGAATCCATGACTAAGTAACATTGGATGTTTATGGGTAGATAATTTATACGTAGACACTGAGGGCAAACTGTTCTCTACAACTCCCAGATTAATACCACGATACTCTGTTGCTGTTGAACTACTGCTCATGTGGAACACAACCCTATATTTTGTTACTGTGAAGTACACATCCTCAGATTTTAGGCCGAGTTGATGTGAGCGTAAGAAATGCATTTTCATCTTTCTAGGGTAAATCTGAACTCTGATCTCAGCCAGGAGCCAGAGGACGTGGTAAAATGCTCCTGTAGTTCCACACAAACTGAATGGCAATGCTTCACACTTGAAATTTGTAATGCTAGCAGTATAATTTCATTCTCAAAGTGACTGTGACACGAAGCTCTTCCACTGTGAAAGACAGGGAACTTGAGAAATTAGTCACCCAAGAACACAAAGTAAATAGTAGAGCAGTGACCACAGTTCAGAAGTCCTTAGTTCCCAACGTAATGCACAGACCAGTGGCTAAATGCAAAGACCTGTCAGTTACGCTGCACAAATCCTACTGTCCTTACTGGACATGTGAAACGTTTCTTAATCATGTCCTAGAAAGGAATTCTGCAGCCTCACCATCTTGCAGCTGACAGGGCTAGCATGCTTGGATTCCACCACGCAACCCCAAGGAGTCACATTTTAGATCAGTGATCTGTCAGATGCTTCATACTCACAGTATCTACAGCATTTATGTTAACATTCTTTTTAAACAGCTTTTCCATGGTTTCCAAATTGTTCATTTTAGCAGCATATTGAAATTCTCTCTCATCTGGCAATACTGTGGAAAAACATTATGAAAAAACAGTATTACTAAAAAACCAGCCATAACGAATTTAAGAGATCATGATACTGTCCTTACTTTCTGTTATTTGTCCTGATTTCCTATGTTACAAGAATCATTTGCTTCTCATCATAGAAGTGTTCCAGGATTACCTTTTTCTCCTCTAGAGACATCTGGCTGATGTTACTAGTTTCCACTTTTAAGTGCAAACAGAGGTAGACTTTTCACAGCATGGATTATCATTATTTGCACCGCTCACAGGAACAAGAGTTCATTTATGAAGCTCTCTCCATCTAAATGGGTCCCGAAGTATTTTATAGGCATAGCAGTGCATGGCACAAGCCTCAGCATTTATTTCCTATTCTTGGAAAAGTTGCTGTGTCTTAAAACAGACCACACCACTGAAATACATAAAAATATACAGCAGTAACCAAATGGTATGACCCAACTGAAAACAAACAAACAAACAAACAAAACCCACAAAGAAAGAAACCAGGAGTTTTACAGGGGGGAAAAAAAAAAAAAAAAAAAAAAAAAGGTGTGTACTTGAACTCAAAGTTTGGCCACAACATGGAATTTACTATTAAATTAGGACCTTCCTTTGACGTGTCAACCCAAAAATGAACATCCGTTTGGTCAACTGAAGTAGCTGCAGCATGCATTTAGCCACCTAATATTTGGTAACTTTGGAAATTAAAATTCCAGTGTCTGATAACTGGTTTAGCTAACTTAGAGGTCAGAGTATTGCTTATGTTTCTACCTTAACATTTAATTAATCACTTGGAAGAAATTATTGTAGCTGTTAACTCATTGCAAAAATGTCAGGAAATATTTTTAATTTCCTAGCATATCGCACTTAAAAAGTTAATCATTTAGAAATCTGTCTAGAATATTTTAGGCCTGAAAGCCACTTGTCCAATTATATCACCAAAGAGGACAGCACTCTGTTGAACTAGAAACTGCAGCAATTATCTGTTCCTTAGAGGCCTCTCATGCGAGTTAATCCTACTGCATTGCCTAAGTTCATTAATAACTAATGAGAATACAGCTTGAGGAAGTATGACTGCAGAGCATACTAAGGAAAATCAGTAAGGCACTCACTTAATTGCATCTTACATGTTACCCATGATTATAACCTCAGTGGGAATAATCACAGTTGTACTGCACAAAATGAGCTAGGAACTAAACTGGACACTTGCAAAGCTGTTTCCAATTTTCCTATGACATTATCCAAGCACCTCATACAACAGAAGCATCCTCCCAAAATTCTCTGGAAATCACAGAAAATTACTTGCTTGTTTTACAACACAGGGGCACAGCCAAACAAAAAATGGAAGTTGCAAATAAAAATGCACCCCTGGCATCTGTGACAAGGAGTGCGGCTGACAGCAAAATCAGCATGATGAACAGGGATCTTCGCAGAATAAAAGCTCACTTGTAGTTTTTGTAGTGTACACTGTCAAGAAGCATCCAACAGAGCTTTTCACTACCTTGATTTCAAACACGGGTAAACCAATGGTCACAGGGTATCTTGCTGAAGGCAAATTTGTGGCAAACATGGAAACAAAGCGCTGGGCACCAATTAGCCGCAATTTGTTACAATTAGGCCATATTCATTCCTACTGACTGCTGATAAACACAAACGTATCTTACATGAGGATGCAAAGATAAATGCTGTTGCATCTCAGGACATCCAGAAACAATCCTAACAGATTACTCACACTGCCTTTAAAAAGCAAAAGAAAATTACGTTTCTTTTCTGTATCTACACCAGCAAGGACAGTTTTGTTGTTGTTCTGACAAAGAATTAATAACTGATCTTTTCTCTCTCCTTCTGTCCAGAAGTCATGAATTGGCTATGTACTGTTAAGAAGATGACCTTTTGCTCTACACATGATGTTTCTTAACAATCTCTTTCTCTGAATACCTTTTAATTCAGGAGTTCAGAACAGTGGCAACCCAGATACATCATGACACTGACTTGCTACACAACCTTTTGCTGCTTTAGCAAAATGATTTTTTCATGCATGAAATTGCAGGAGTATGGACCTGTCAGACTACATATTAATGAAAGCTTTCTATCCAAGCTGGGGTCTCCAGGATTGGGCACTCCTTACATTATTAACAATCACTCTATTTTCAAGTAACAGCAGCAATCAATTATCTATTTGTGGCTATCAGTCTCTTTGGGAGGTTATTTTCTTTGGCTTCATACAAGATGTCTGGCTTATTGCCTTACAGGTTATATTACAACTATATAATTATAACTATAAAACAGTTATATTCAATTTTTCTTTTGAACTAACAGAAATAGTAACTTTATCAGGTGGTTTCCTTTGTACAGAGACGTGTCTGCAGCGTATTGAACATCCCCACACTTCTCATCTCTTGGAAGGGCAAGGAAGTAAAAAGATATAGAAAAGTAAATTGCTTTGTTGACCTGAAAACAGAAAGCCTTCCTCAACAGAAACTCAAGCTTTGAGATACCTTCAATTTTTCTTTCCTCATATTTACATCTTATTTTAGTGGCCCAAATCTGTCTTTTAGTAATACGACAAGTAAGGATGACTTGATATGAAGTAAAAAAGTGCACCAGAGGTTTCGGTACTTGTAGACAATCGAAATTTTCCAACCCCACCCCCTTTGATTTTAGTTTCCTGTTGTGGTATCCACAAGATGAAATCTGTCACTGTCTTTAAAAGCACATGGGAAAAAACCCAGGAATTTGAACTGACCGAAGAGTTCCAAGGAGGTAAAATACAAAAATAATAACAACACTCAGATTCAAATTACAACAAAAATTATTTTTACTCTATTGTTTCTAAAAATTAAATCATACATTCAATGGTTTGGTATAATTTGCAATGTTTTCTCTACGTTTTCTTGTTTGTTCCTGGAAATGACTAAGGCAAAGTAGGTATTTTGTTAAGTCACGAGAATCTCTTTCTAAAATGTTTTTCAATTCAAAGAAGTCATGGGAAAAACTACCCATTGAGTCCAACAGTGGTATTTTATTTGTTTCTTTGATTTATCTGACCTCTTTGCCAGCCTGGAAGCAGGAAGCACGGCCCAGGAGAACGGCTCCTGGCTGTCACGCTGCGATCACAGGACAGGGCCATGGCAGTGTTTAACAACTACTGCTCAGCTTCCATAAATAACCCGTTTTCACTAACTGCAGCCCGTGCCAGAGCAGGCTGTTCTTTCACAAACTGGTTTGCGGGATAAAAGCTGGACACTCTGTCCCTGGGAACTGTGCCACTGAGTGCAAGGAGGCCAGAGGGTCCTCCGATTTCGGAGTGCCCCCCAAAGCGGATCGCTTGTGAAACTGTTGGCAGGTGCTCAGCCCCAGGGATGCGACTAATGCCAGCGAACTCCCCCCCCCCCGGACAGCTTCAGGGGTGAGGTTAAAGCGGGCTGCTGGGCAGTTTGCCGGACCTGTCCCTTGGAAGACAGACATGCCAAACTCCGGCTCCCGATCCCACACCCACGTGTCCTGCCTGATGTCTTTTACTACGTATAAGGCAGCTCATGTCGAACCTCCTCCTTTCCCCCCACCCCTGCAGCGCTCATTGTGTTCTTCGGTCGAGGCGAAAAGGGGGTTTGGGCGGGGCCCACGGCCCCGGCAGCCCCGTCGGGGCCCAGCGAGCTGCGTGCGGGCCAGGCCCCAG